ACTAAGCAGACAGTCTGCTTTCAGTGTTGTGTGCTGTAGTTGATCCTGACTGACGTGTTTGTGTAAATCAGATCTGAATTGGCTGGTCATTTCGGTCACATGACAGTCACGTTTGGATCTGAAATGGCACTCGCCGAAGCTACAAAAGGGAACAGCATGACAGCATGTCGTTCAGACTTCCTCTTGCAGTTTTTAGATATGACACACACTCACCCAGCTGCCACACAGGCACATCACAAACACACACACACACACTCACACACACCCCATCAGCACTTCCTGCACCTTCAGCCTAAAACCGCCATCTGCACTACAAAAAAATAGACTTTCTATAATTGACATGCATTTGAATGAGGTTATTTCAACTTGATTTGAGCAACTTGAATGCAAGAAGCAGTGAGATTAAATCACTTTCTGCTGTGTATTTAACTTGAGCAGTTTACTCTTGTTAGAGGTATTTAATCTTAATTACATCATTTGGACTAGCAGAACGTTCTGTTAACTCTTGCAATGCAACTTAACAACTAAAATAAAGTTTTTAACGTGATACCAGATCAGTTACTTGCCCAAAAGGTCAAAAGTTTTGGGAACAATAAGGTTGTGTTTTGGTGTGATGTGTTGTTTTGTGTTGTGTTTTGTTTCGTTTCTTGTTGTGTTTTTGTTTTGTTTTGTTTCTCTTTTTATTTTTGTTTTGTTTTTCTTTTTCTTTTGTTTAGTTTTTGTTTCATTTTTGTTTTGTTTTGTTTTGTGCTTTTGTTTTTCTATCATTTTGTTTTGCTTTTTGTTTTTGTCTGGTTTTGTTTTGTGTTTTGTTTGTGTTTTTTGTGTTTTATGTTTTAATTGTTTGTTTTTTGTTTTGTTTTGTGATTTTGCTTTGTTTTTTGTTTTGTTTTTGTCTGTTTTTGTTTTGTTTGTGTTTTTTATGTTATGTTTTAATCGTTTGTTTTGTTTATGTTTTGTTATGCTTCGTTTTGTGTTTTTGCTTTGCTTTTTGTTTTGTTTCTTGTTTTGTTTGTATTTCTTGTTTTGTTTAATTTTTTTGTTTAATTTTTGTGTTTTTGTGTTGTTGTTTTTTTTTTTTTGCTTTTTATTTTGTTTTTGTCTGGTTTTGTTTTGCTTTGTGTTTTGTTTCTTTTTTGTTTTTTTGTTTGTTTTTTGTGTTTTGTTTTGTCCCTATTCTGTTTACAAAAGCTGCATTTATTTGATAAAAAATTGTGAAATATACATTTTTTCTTACTCAGTGTAGTTTCAAATTTATTTATTCATGTGATTTTTTTTGCCTCAATACTGTAAAATAAAATAAAAAAATCTGAAATTAAAATTAAAAATTGGAAAAATTCTTGGAATTACAAACAGAACAATGTTGAAGCTAAATTTATATATATATATAAAAATGTGAAAATATTTTGAAAGTATATATATTATACATTTATTGAAACAAATATGAAATTATATCTGAAATTTCCAAGCCATTACTTAAAAAATCATTATTAAAATGCTAAACAGAACAATATTAAAGCAAAAATTATATTTCTAGTTTCTTTTTAAATAAAAAAAAAAATTTACAATTAAAAACAATAAACCAAATTTGGTTTAAAATGTATTTATGTTGGTGAACTTTTAGCATCATTACTCCAGTCTTTAGGGGCTTTAGATTTGTGTGCGTGCCCTAACCTGCCTAGTTAACCTAATTAACCTAGTAAACCCTTTAAATGTCACTTTAAGCTGTATAGAAGTGTCTTGAAAAATATCTAGTCAAATATTATGTACTGTTATCATGGCAAATATAAAATAAATCAGTTATTAGAGATGAGTTATTAAAATTATTATGTTTAGAAATGTGTTGAAAATTTTTTCGTTAAACAGAAATTGGGGGGGGGGGGGGAATAAACAGGGGGGCTAATAATTCTGACTTCAACTGTATAAATATATATTTTTTTAAAAAGTTCAACATTTGTTTTATATAAGTAGATTGAACCTAATTTGATTAAGTTGTCAGATATTTACAAGATTAGTGTTATTTCAGCTCATTCCAACCAAGTCATTTAAGCAAGCAGCAAAAAAAGAGAAAGAGGATGAATGACATGTTTTATTTTACACTCTTCTCTGTCAGCTTTTCAGATTTTACACTCTCTCTGTCTCTCTCCCTCTCTCTCATGTTCCGCAGGGGCTAATAAAATAGTTTGATTACATAATCAACTTGGCTGTCTCATTAAGGAAAATCAACGGGAACAGGGCCATAATTAGTCATATAGCAATTAGCATTTGAGGGGGACCGACAGTGATGAAAAAGCGTGTGTGTGTGTGTGTGTGTGTGTGTGTGTGTGTGTGTGTGTGTGTGTGTGTGTGTGTGTGTGTGTGTGTGTGTGTGTGTGTGTGTGTGTGTGTGAAGGTCTGGCTTCAGTCTCTCAGCAGCACTTTTCTCCATCTCTCTTTCACTGAACACCAGTCTCTGTTTATGAAAGCAACAAATGAACATTCTGACAAGAAATGACTTGCTGAAATTTTTACAACCTGCTAACCTGAAATGCTTAATCTTTTTAAATGCTTAATAAAAATTTAATTTTTTATTTATTATTTAATAAAAAATATTTTATTAAATAATTTCATAAAAATAAAAATGTATTGCATTTTGCAATATTAGTTGGTAGGAAACATGATGTATATGATAAATAAATATAAAATGTTTCATTCATTCATTTGTTTATTTATTTATTTATTTATTTAATATTTATATGTTTTGGTCACACTTTATTTTGATGGTCCATTTGTTAAATTTAATTTACAAATGTTCAACAGTTCAAGTCAACTGATTCTCATTTGATTATATATGTAGACTGATAGGTTGGGGTTAGGCTTAGAGTTAGTGTAAGTTGACATGTACTTGCAAAGTCTCTTATAGTCAGAGAAATGTGTGTTGAAGGAGTAGTATCGTCAGATATTAAGCAGACAGTTTACTAATACTCAAATGGACCATCAAAATAAAGTGTTACCTATCTTTTTTATATTTATTTAATTGTGGTTGTACAAAATATTAAAGACTATACTTCAGGTTATATTTATTTCGGTCATAATTTTGCTGTTTGTTGTTCGTTTTCATTCCAAATATTTAAAAAAATTTGATAAAGATGATGATAAAAATTATTATTATTATTTTGTATTATTAGGACCAATTTTCATGATTAATTAGTCATTTATTAGAATGTGCTGATTATGCACATATAATGTGTGACTGTTTTTATGTTTTACCTGTGGTTGTATAAAATGTTGAAGTGTATACATCACATTTGATTTAAATTTATTTATTATTATCATAAGTGTTTTTTTCTTTCTGTCTTTACTTTTTTGGATTGTTTTGTATAAAACTGTACTTATAATATATATTTCTTTTTTTGAATATGCAAAAAATTCGATAACATTATTTAAAGATATTAGTTCTGGTTGTATAAATGTTAAAGCATACTTTAAGTCTTATTTTGAGTTGTTTGTGTCATCAGTTTCTTTCATATAAAATAAATGAAAATATGTATTTATTATTTATTATTATTCATTTATTTTCTTTTCGGCTTAGTTCCTTTATTATCTGGGGTCACCACAGCAGAATGAACTGCCAACTTATTCAGCATATTTTTTACGCAGCAGATGCCCTTCTAGCAACCCATCACTGGGAAATACCTATATACTCCCATTTAATTTTGAGCCGGTATAAGATTCTTTTATATATTCGGTATATATATTCTTTTCAAATATCTGGGTAAAAAAAAAAAAACTTAAACTTTTTTTCCCCTTTGAACAAAATATATTTTATTTTCAGAAACCTTTACATTATTTTGAAGAAGTAAACATGTCAGGCTACATATTAAAATGAACCATTGACTTGTGTCATTGTAGTTTCAAAAACACAGATTTTCTTGTGTTTCTTGTGTAAATTTTCTTCTTGCAATTTTAAATGGCATCTTTAGATTTCTTTTCTGCTGGAGATGCTGTTGTCTTCAACAATAAAAATGAAATAAAACATTTAATACTGTACATACTTCAGAAATGGTGTAGCAGAAAATATTGGCGATTTTAAAATCTTGACTTTTCCAAACCACGGTACACTCAACCTTAAAAAAAAAAGTGGTTATCGTCCCATGCCTACTCTTATTCACACACATACACTACAGACAATATCAACTATCCCAGTTCAACCACAGCGCATGTATTTGGACTTGTTTGGGAAACCGGTGCATGCCAACTGTCCCAGCCGAGACTCGAGTCAGCGACCTTCTTGCTGTGAGGCGTCATCGCTTCCCACTGCGCCATCGCGCCGCCCCGTGTATTTAGTATTAGTAGTAGTAGTAGTAGTAGTAGTAGTAGTAGTAACATCGCGCCGCCCCGTGTATTTAGTAGTACTAGTAGTAGTAGTAGTAGTAGTAGTAGTAGTAACATTATTAGTAACATCCAAGTATAAGAACCCATACTCATTTTAGCCAACTAGTTACTTATTAACATGCTTATAATGAACATATTTGTTTATTAATATTTGTAAAGCACATGTTATGCATCTTCAACAGTGCATTCCTTTTCTTAACCAGTCCTTTACTACAGATAGCTATTAATAAGCAGCAAATTAAGTTAAAAGTTAATGCTTTTGTTAATAGCGAGAGTTGAATCCTAAAATAAAGTCACCTTTTTTCTTCAAGTAAAAGTAATCGTACGTCACATCACGTTTCCAGAAGACAGGGTACTTTCATAATCAAAATCAGTGACTGGTTCATTTTGGTGCTTTTTCATTTGTACGTCTTAACGGAGCAGAAGTTAACTCGAGGTGCTGGAGCGTAGTGTGGATTTATTGGCGTGTTTTGGCTTGGTTTGTTTTTCTAGTTAACATTTTTAGCTGCGGTTGGCAATCCGCAAAAATGCAAAGACACTTTTAGGTATTTAGTGGAGCTGCACAGTTGCACAGAACCTGGCCCACACTGATCTCCATACACTTTCTCTTTGTGTGTGTGTTTCAGATCCCGTCTCGGCACTGGAAGCAGCTCAGCAACTCCAGGTGACGGTTCGGAAGATGCACGACTTGGAGACCGAAAACCAGAGGCTCAAAGATACACTACAAGAGTACGAACGTGAAATTTCAGAGGTTAAAAACCAAGGTAATTACCCTGGATTTAAAAGCATAATCATTTATATATGAGATGATCATATTAACATTTTCTCTCATTCAGCCTAAAAAAATATTAAAGTGCAAACATGTAGAATTTAAGACATTATGAATGACTGAATAGCTGTTGTTATTGTCCTCTCAGTTTGACTCAAGTGTATTTGTATAGCGCTTTTCACAATAATTATCGTTCCAAAGCAGCTTTACAAAAGTTGCACATTATTGCATTACAATCAAAGTTCGGAAGAGGTCTTTAGTTACTAATAACCTTAACTAATTAACTAGTAACTAATAGCTTTTAACAGTTAAAATCATCATATATAAACATAGTCAACTTGCAGTTATATAGTAACTCTCCATGGCCATTAGTATATATATTTTTTTACTTTTTTTTTTTTTACTCCACCACATCCCAAAGGGGCTCCATTGGATTGAGCTCTGGTGACTGTGGAGGCCAGTTGAGTACAGTGAACTCCTTGTCATGATCAAGAAACCAGTCTGAAATGATGCGCGCTTTATGACATGGTGTGTTTTCCTGCTGGAAGTAGCCATCAGAAGATGAAGACACTGTGGTCATAAAGGGATGGACTTGGTCAGCAACAATACTTCTGCTGCTGTTGCCCAACCGCCTCAAGGTTCTACGTGTTGTGTGTTCAGAGATGCTTTTCTGCATACCTCGGTTGTAACAAGTGGTTATTTGAGTGACTGTTGCCTCTCACTCAGCTCAAACCAGTCTGGCCATTCTCCTCTGACCTCTGGCATCAACAAGGCATTTGCGCCCACAGAACTGCCACTCACTGGATGTTTTCTGTAAACCCTGGAGATAGTTATGCTTGAAAATCCCAGTCGATCAGCAGTTTCTGAAATACTCAGACCAGCCCCTCTGGCACCAACAACCATGCTACGTTCAAAGTCACTTAAAACCCCTTTCTTCCCCTTCTGATGCTCGGTTTGAACTGCAGCAGATCGTCTTGACCATGTCTACATGCCTTGACGTTAACGAGCAGTTAGACAGGTGTACCTAATAAAGTGCCCGGTGAGTGTATATTTTAACTATCTGTTCTCAGGCCCTATAGATTCACATCTGAGTCTAGTCTAGCCAATAGCATAATAATGATAATATAAAAAGAGTAAGGCTCTTTTCATGCTTGCAGTACGCAATAATTGGCACATAAAATTGATCTTACTTCTTAAACAATATGGTACAATCCATGTAAAATATTTACGTTTAAATATATTACTTTATTTGTTATTAAAAGTGTATTATTAATATACTTTTCACTTAAAATATGTATTTTTGATGTATATTTCTGTTTTTACATATAAATCTGCACACACACTTAATTAATTTTTATTTTATGTAATGCAACAAATCACTATTTAGCGGTCATTAATCATTAGTTATAAAAAGAAAACCCTGAAACATATTAATTTACAGCTTATTTATAATATTTTATTCAATCCAAATCTTAATACTAATTGACAAAGCTCAGTTTTAATGAATTCTTACGTCCTCTTCAATAATTATTTCATTTAAACTGTTCACGTAACGGAAGTTAAATGTCATTTGCAAGCGTTCTCATTCTGTAAAACAGGATTTATCTGCGCTTGGCAAATGAAATGTATTATGCATATGTCATGTTGGCAGGCCGCACGAGTGTGCCCACATAGACGGGGCCCTATTTCTGTTCAAATGAGCTGTAGTCATCTGAGCTCTATTTCGGGCCCACTGCTGTTTCAGCCAGACATGTTTCCTACTTCTTTTTTTTTCCCCTCTCTCTTTTTCTAAAGCAAACAAGAGGGAAAGATCGTTCACTCACGCTCTGTGGAATTCCCCTAATCGATGCGGCTCAATAACGGCAATATTTTATTCGTCCCGCACGAGCCACATGCGACCCGTCTCACGTAAACACACGTGTCCATGAACACACTCACACACAGGTGTGTTTCCGTCTGAGCGCTCGGCTAGGTAATCCTTCCTATTCTACACGCTGATCTTTCTCAGGTCAGTGATCCTCCAGTCTCCCAGTGTTTAAAGTCCAGTTTAGCATTTAAGGGTCTAAAAGGGCTCTTGTGGGACTGCTGCTCATTGATTATGTGTCAGCGCTGAAGTGCTGGAGTTTAAATCACCGCAGATGGCTGTGCCGGAGACCGAGCGAGAGGAGGAAAAAGCTCTCTATCAGGGATATATTTTCTGTGAATGTGTGTGTGTGTCTGTGTAGACATGCAAACACACATTTTTCTATTATGGTAGGGACTTTCCCTTGGCTTCTGTTGTTTTATATAGAGCTATTGATAGTTTCGGAGCTCTTACCTCACAGCTCATCTTAAATGCGTGCCTCTTGGAAAAGTGCTTAGCATTTTATTTAGCCTACAATCAAAATTCTGTCACTCTTGTGTAGTTTTTCTTTAGAGAGCAAAGTAATCAGTATTTTTCACGGATTTACAATTAATTATATTAACTATCAGAACGCTACATGCAAAATTGAATAATTATATTAAGTACTGGAGTTACAGTTTATAGATGCAGTGCTGTCTATGGTAGATATCCAAATACAGTAAATCACTTCCTGAAAGTAACTTGATGGTTTAAATAATTGTTGTCAGCAACATTGTTTTGCCAATAGATGGCGACAAGCAGCGATTAAAATTGACAATGAATCATTCCTTATGGAGATTTGTCCTAAAGCAGTCCAATACTTATGAAGTGTTTATAAGTAAATCATAGAATTCTTTATTCAAGTGATTCGCAAAAAATGTTGATTCATCTAATAATAAAACAAGTTAAGTCTTTAGGAGCGAGTCATAGAATCGTTTATTTTGTTCAAAATGTTGATTCTTCCAGAAATGAAACAAGTAAAGGCTTTACGAGTGACTAATTCAAGTGTTTATTCAAGCGAATCATTCAAAAATGTTGTTTCATCAGAAACAAAGGAAGTAAAATCTTTGAGTGAGTCATTGAATCGTTCATTCAAGAAAATCGTTGTAAATGCATCCACCAACAAAACAAGTGAAGTCCTTAATAAGAAAGTGATTATTCAATAGATCTATTCAAAAATGTTGACTCATCCAGTTACAAAACAAGTGAAGACTTTACAAGTTAGTCATAGAATCGTTCATTGAAGAGAATTGATTTAAAGCAGTTCATCCAGTGACAAAACAAATGGAGTCCTAAATTATGTTTAAGAAATTTGTTCAAAATGTTGATTCTTTCAGAATCAAAACAAGTAAGATCTTTATGAGTGACTAATTGAAGTGTTTATTTAAGTGAATCATTCTAAAATATTGTTTCATCAGAAACCAAAGAAAGTCTTTTGGTGAGTCATTAATCACTCATTCAAGAGATTTGTTCAAAATGTTGATTCTTCCAGAAATGAATCAAGTGAAGTCCTAATGAGTGACTAATTAAAGTGTTTATTCAAGCGAATCATTTAAAAATTTTGTCAAATTAGAAATAAAATAAGTTAAAACTTTGAGTCATTGAATCATTCATTCAAGAGAATCATTCCAAATGCATCCATCAACAAAACAAGTAAAGTCTTTTATAAGACAGTCACTGATTATTCATTCTGTAGATCTATTAAAAAATGTTGATTCATCCAGCAACAAAACAAGTGGTCTTTACAAGTGAGTCGTTGAATCGTTCATTCAAGAGAATCGTTCTAAAGCAGTTCATCCAGTAACAAAACAAATGGAGTCCTAAATTATGTTCAAGAGATTTGTTCCAAATGTTGATTCTTCCTGAAACTAAAAAAGTCTTTATGATTGACTAATTGAAGTGATTATTCTAGCGAATCATTCAAAAGTTTTATTTCTTTAGAAACAAATCAAGTAAAATCTTTAAGGGTGTCATTGGATCGTTCATTAAAAAGAATCGTCCTGAATGCATCCATCAACTAAAGAATCAAAGTCCTTATAAGAGGGTCACTGAAAAATTCATTCAATAGATTCAATGAAAAATATTGTTTCATCCATTAACAAAACAAGTTAAGTTCTTATGAGGGAGTAATTGGAGTAAGCTTATTCATAGGAATCATTTAAATATGTTGTTTCATCAGAAAAAACATAATCCTTGAGTGAGTCATTGAATTGTTCGTTCAAGAGAATCGTTCTAAATGCATCCTTTAACAAAGCAAGTGAAGTTTTTATGAGAAAGTTACTGAATAATTCATTCAATAGATTCGATGGAAAATGTTGATTCATCCAGTAACAAAACAAGTGAAGTCTTTCTGAGTGAGTCATTCAATCATTCATTCAAGTTAATTGTTCTAAAGCAGTTCATCCAGTAACAAAACAAGTGAAGACTTCACAGGTGAGTCTTTGAACCGTCTGTATACGATATTTGTTCAAAAATGCTGATTCATCCAGTAATGAAACAATGGGTCAGTTATGAGAGTAGAGTCACCTTTTAAAGGATCAAAACTGAATTTCTTGAAATTATTATTGTTTAAAATGGACTGCTACATTTTGTCTGACCCTCTTATAAGCTTATTAATTTAATAATTTACCTTTTTAGGTATTTTAAAGCAATCGTGATCTCTTTTCTTAGTTTATTCAGAATCTTGCAGGTCTAACTCTTCTAAATTCAGCTCTGGATGGAGAAGCAGACTGAAATGTGAGCGATTATTCACTCACAATCTTCCCTCAAGTGGGCTGTTACTTCGAGAGCTGCTCAAACTGGATCATAGAGTCTGATTGCTCATGAAAAATGGCTTAAATTTTGGTTTGTTTTCACACAAAGCTGTCATGTGCTTTCAAACGACTTGGAATATTGTCATATGGACTAGCTTTATGGCACTTTAGTGTCTTGTCGAGGCTTCAGTCCTCATTCTTTGTAAGTGTCACAGTCTTCATTGCTCCTTTTGTCTTCCGCTAAAGTTACATGGGTTTTAAATGACTTGAGGCTGAGTAAATGATGACAGATTGTTCATTTTTGGACCAATTGTTCCTTAAAGATGTAATTTGGTATGTTTATTAAGCGGTTTTCTTCTTGGCTGATTTAGGGTTTTGTTATCCTTCTGGGACATGTGGGCTTCATAATATGGACAAAATATAAACCACACGCACACCCAGGCCCTCTATTTATGCCCTGATGTCTTTTTATCTTTCTTTTCTTTCTTCAGAAGTCACTATTAAAGCACTTAAAGAGAAGCTGGAGCAGTATGAGCGTTCTCTGCAGGCCAAGAACACAGAGGAGGCTGTCGAGCCGAACTTGGACTCATCAGAAAGAGAAGAGAGGCAAAGCAAAGGAGAAAACCTTCCAAACAACTATGCAGACAAGGAGAGGTTAGCCTGCCCGTTGCACAAATCCCGCACTGCATTAATCTTCCTGATTGTGTGAAGTCATAAGCTCGGTTTCAAAATGTAGTGGGTTGAATACTTAGACAGAATTTGGAGGCATTGCTGGTAGGTTGAGAAACTGTATTTATTACAGATTATCATGTATTACATGATTATCATTATATTATATTATTTTATTTTATATATTTCATGATTATTATTATTTATAAATAACAATATCCATATGACAATTGTCAATGACAAAACAACAGTGATAATAATTAGGATTATTATTATGTATTATTATTAATCATTTGTGTATTGTAGTTAAATTCAAGGTCACTTTACAGAATTTAACTGTTTTACTGGAATTATACAGTAATTGTTTATTTTGTATTAGTTTAGGATTTTGTCCATGAACATAAAATTAAAATCATTTCATAGTAAGGTTGGGCAATATGGCAAAAATGTAATCTCAATAGTTATTTGTCATATTGAATGATAAAGATATATATTTCGATATCAGTTGTTGACAGTAAAAAAAACAAATAGCTTAAAAGGGCTTATAATTTTGTACTTAAAATGGTGTTTAAAAAATTAAAAACAGCTTTTATTCTAGCTAAAATAAAACAAATAAGACTTTCTCCAAAAGAAAAAAATATTATCCAACATGCTGTGAAAATTCCCTTAACCTTAAAAAAAAAAAAAAAAATTCAAAAGGGGGCTAATATTTGTAAATATCATAATATTAGCAAAAATCTTTAATCTATTTTAGATTTCCATTGTTGCACATTTCTTCTGTGTAATTGGCTCTAGTGTAAAAGGTCTAGAGCTTATCATTGTTATTGACATGTTTTATCACAATTCGATATAATATTGTTTATCACCTAGCCCTATTTCAACGTTGTTTTAGGAAACAAGAAACTAGAAACCTTAAACAGAAATGAAAAAACTAACAAAGGCTTAATTTAATTTAGTTTAAGTTGTACTAAAATATATAAATTGTGTGAAAAAATTTAAAAATAAAAAAATAAAATAAATATTAATTCAAATGCAAGAAAAATTTGTAATACCTTTAAATAATGACAAAAATAGTAATAGCAAAAAATAATATCTTTTTTGATATTGTACTAAAACAGTGATCTTTATTACGCCAGCACCACAATAGATGGCCAAGTTTAAGAATATAGGTTTATATCCACATTTGAAAAATATATAATCATTATTATATATATTATATAATCAATATGTAATACCACCAGTTCGGAAATAATTTTTTTTCCCAAGACATTTCTAAACATAATAGTTTTAATAACTCATTTCTGATAACTGATTTATTTTATCTTTGTCATGATGACAGTAAATAATATTTTTTATAGATATTTTTTAAGAGACTAGTATACAGCTTAAAGTGACATTTAAAGACCTTAGCTAAATTAATTAGGCAAGTTAGGGTTATTAGGCAAGTCATTGCAAAGCGATGGTTTGTTCAGTAGACTATCGAAAAATATTTAAGCTTAAGGGGGATAATAATATTGACCTTAACTCTTTAAAGTGCACTCCTTGGAAATATTTTTTGGCCCACTTGTATTTTATAATATGCTAACACAACTCTGATAGTAATAGTAATAAGCAATTAAGATAATAATGATAACCTATGGATAAAAGGTCAACCTGATTATGATGCCTTTTAAAAGGGTTAAACTGGATTTAAAAAATGAAATTCTAGCTAAAATAACTCAAAAAATACTTTCTCTAGAAGAAAAAATATTATAGGAAATACTTTGAAAATGTTCTGGCTCTGTTATACATCATTTGGGAAATATTTGAAAAGGAAAAGTCACAGGAGGGCTAATCATTTTGACTTGAGCTGTATATTAGGAAACTGTTTTAATTGTGCCCTGTGTGTCTGTACAGTCAGCCAGAGCAGAGCCAGGAGAGCAGGACAGAAGACTCGGATGTGAAAACACAGTCCTTACAAACAGGTTTGCTAAAGCATCCACCATCATGTTAAATGTTTTTGCAATTACACACACGTCACTTGGCGTAGTTGAATTTTACTGACACTGGCTTTACATTTTTAATGCAGCACTTGAAGCAACTCAGGCAGAACTCCACGAACTGAAGACGAAATATGATGAAGAATCCACAGCAAAGTGAGTAAACCGGCTTTTATTTCTGACGGGACGCCGCAGGAGCTCAGATTACCCTTTCTGTGTTTCCTCGAATGTCTGCTAGGCGTCTTTGTCTCACCTTTGCACACATTTGCGTGTTCATACAGACACAGACAAACACACACACACACACACACACCCCTTTGATCCGCACCAAAACAGCTCATAATCCTACTGCAGACAGGTTTGATTATGGGGAAAAACACAGTGTGGTGAAATCGCACCTTCATTCATGCACAAGTTGATATTCAATAGTCCTCACCTACCGCCCATGCTGTCTTTATGGCTACACTAGACTGAATAATGCATGACACAATCCCTCATAACGCGCGGTGATCTAGTAATGACGGGATTCGTACCGTCGACTGACATTTTGTGGGCGGCGAATCAGTGTGTGCATCTGCGCGCATTGTCTGTTCGCCTTGATCTGGGTCATGCATGTGTGTTTGTGTGCGTCTGCGCGCGTGCACGTGTGTGTTCCTCCGCTCGCTCTCTCCTTGTCATGTGGTCGAGGTTAGGTGGCAATTTCCTTGTCTTGCTGTCGCTGAGGAATGCATCCTGTTGCAGAGAGCGCTCGCTGCGGGCTGTTTTAGCGCTGGGAGTGGCGTAATTACACTACCTGTGATCAAACCAGACCCCCAGCACTGCACATTTAAAGAATTTTTTTTGTGTTAGTATCAATATGTTAGTCTTAAGGTTATCTACGCTCACTGGCCACTTTATTAGGTACACCTTACTAGTACCGGGTTGGACCCCTTTTGCATTCAGAACTGCCGTAATCCTTCGTGGCATAGATTCAACAGGATACTGGAAATATTTCTCAGAGATTTTGCTCCATATTGACATGATAGCATCACACAGTTGCTGCAGATTTGTATTTGGCTGCTCATTCATGATGCGAATCTCCCGTTCCACCACTTACCAAATGTGCTCTATTGGATTGAGATCTGGTGACTGTGGAGGCCATTTGAGTACAGTGAACTCATTGTCATGTTTAAGAAAGCAGTGTTTAGATGATATATGCTTTATGACATGGCGCATTATCCTAATGGAAGCAGCCATCAGAAGATGGGTACACTGTGGTCAGAAAGGGATGGACGTGGTCAGCAACAGTACTCAGGTAGGCTGTGTCATTGACATGACGCTCAATTGGTATTAATGGGTCCAAAGTGTGCAAAGAAAATATCCCCCACACCATTACACCACCACCATCAGCCTGAACCGTAGCAAAGAGTATAGAATCACCAAGAGGCGACACTCTGTTGCGATTTTGGGAAACTGCAGCTAGTCACGCAGTGGCCATTTTGGAATGAAAATTTCAATAGAACAATAGCATATTATAAGTCTATAAAATAAACTATCAAAAGTGCTGATGATGGTGATAGTAAGTGTTGTATTATCGTCTTTCAGGTTGTATCTCAGCTTTAATGTGCTTTTTAAAAATAAATAAATAAAAAACAAAGCAGACAGCAGTAAGATCCAATAGGGTATATGCCGAGCTAGTGTTTTTCCCATGCTCATAAACTTCCGGTGACCTGTTATTGTGAACTTTTTTCCATTTTATACGGTTCCTTCTTTGTAATGTCATTAAAATACATTCTGTTAAATAAACTTTGGCATTCATTTAGTTGCCCAAGCATAAAACGAGACAAAAAGCCGTTTACTCGCACATGCCCGTCAGAATCGCAGGCTAGGGCAGAAGCTCCATTGAATATACTGGGGTAAAATAAATGCTCATATTATAAAGACATGGCGGGGGAAATGTAATTTAAAGCAGTGCTTTTTGTACAATCTGAGACCCACTTTATATCGGATATCACTCAGCTAGTGGAGATCGCTGATTTTTAAAGAAAACTGACCTCAAAAGCGCCGGTTTTTGCCTTGGCATACAGTTAGCCGGAAGCGATTAACCCAGGTTACTGGCAAATTAAAAGTCCCATTAGCATGCTTCGGCATATACCCTATGGACGGCTGATGACTTTCATTTCAAAATGGCGGAATCGCGGGACTGTTGCTGGGCGCTGCTGTTGCAATAGAACGTTCTATTGAGTGTCGCCTCTTGGTGATTCTAAGCTCTTTGACCGTAGGCAGGATGGTGCCATGTTTTTTGTCATGATTCGAACATTTACAAACAAAATTAATGAGCAAATTTCGATGAACTGTCTTTGTTGATTCCACATATTAAATTTTTTTGTGAGCATGGCAAAGCGTTTTAAGGAATTTGATGTTTCTTCATTTGAAGAGATAGGAGCTGCACTTGCATGCCCGAGAGGTGTTTTGAAAATGGCCCCCCCGAGTGAAATGACTTGCCTCAAAGGGACTTTGTTTGAACACCTCTACAGTTATCAGGGGTAACAATATTTCAGTAACCTGGCCCAGAGTTGGATCTTATGCATGACTCTGCACAAATGCATCAGAGCCAATTGAAATAGCAGGGTTCATATGTTTATGAAAAACCTGGAAAAGTCATGGAATTTTGACATGGCATTTTCCAGGCCTGGAAAACTTTTATAAAAACAGAAAAACTCGAAATGTTTTGGAAAATATCTGTGTTCTTGAATATAGGTTACTGTGTTGCATCTAGGATTTTTTCCAGCTGTGGCGGCCGGCCTTTTACACAGGTCTACCAAATACCTATGGTGTTATTTCAAAATGTCGTAAGCGCAGTATTACTAATCAAGATTGCATTTATGTAATACGAGCATGTGAATCTCTTTGCTTGTGCACCAATTTCCTCTGCTCGTACACAAAACTTCTTGCACGCCCTCAGATATACGCTGCTCAAGTGCAGATTTTCTTGTGCGCTCTCAAATAAACGCTGCTGAAGTGTGATTTAGTGCGTTTATGCAACAAGTATGTCTCCAACATTGATTAGATTGGCTAGGAAAATTTATGAATGTCTCCAATAGACCTACAGAGCGGCATTAATGCGTCCTGAAATAAACTGAAACAGCTATAAACTCCAGCAAGATAGAGACATTGTATGCAGAACCATAGACCTTTAAGTATAATTTTGGAAACTGTGTTCATCTTAACTGAAAGCTACGTCGTTTTTGCTGGCCTCACGCATCACGCACCTGTCAGTCACTCAGTCAGCACGTCACCTTAAAGGGTTAAACAAATGACACGCAGCACTACTACGGTTACAGAAAAGTTTGAGCTGTTATAATTCACTTACCTTTTCATATGTTTTGGTGCGATTATCACCCACTATTAAAATAGTACAACGACTGAATGTTTTGAATGAGCTGTAATGTAGCCGTGGCGGGATGAATTTTGTATATGTGTATATGTGTGTGTGTGTGTGTGTGTGTGTGTGTGTGTGTGTGTGTGTGTGTGTGTGTGTGTGTGTGTGTGTGTGTGTGTGTGTGTGTGTGTATAGACAAAGAGAAAGAGAGCGAGAGAGAGAGACTATATATATAGACTATATATTATATTATAGACTGTGGATCTCATGACTGGCAAAGCTGTGTGATATAAACAAAATCCTATTGGCTATTTGTAAAATAGGAGGAGCTACTCAGTATCTCCAACCCTGCCTTATTTTAGTTGAAATTGTGTCAGCATTGAACAAATTTTAGCATTTCAGGGGACCTTTAAGCTCTAAAATCCACCATGGCAAGCCGGAAGGTCAGAATGAGGTTTATTTGAGGAAAAGTCATGCTGCTGATTCCACAGACACGGCTCTAACAAGAGATAAATCTCACTGTCAGACATTTAAATATGACTGTGTGCGTGCTTACAAACGCAAACAAGAAAGACACACACATAAGACGACGCACTGTGACATTCAGTAACATTGGCCTGTTTCCAATCCGCCCGGGAACGCAGGCAGGTGAAACATTTCTGCTCCATTAGATCGTGTACCTGCTTCTCATCCTCACTCTTTCTTTTATTAGTATTAGTTTGATAGCTGGCAAAATATTAACTGCAGTTTTGTGTGTGCGCACACAAGCAACACATTAGTGATGAATTTGCTGCCAAATTCCCTCACAATGAATTCAAAGCACTGTTTAATTGACCTTTTTCAGTTACTTGCATATGAAAGAGTAAATATAAAGACACTTTGTTGTAAGTAGGAAATGTAATGCTATGGTCTGTCCAAACCAGCGTATTCGTTTCTAAAAAAAAACAACTGCATAATGTGACTAAATCACAGCCAAAGTTTACAAGTAATCTGATCCACTTTAAGTTTGAGTCATGTGTAATTAAAAACACAACATGTACAGATTGAAAGCATTAGTCCAAGTTTCTATTAAGAATGTTGAAATCTGCTGTTGATTTAAAAAGAAGCTTTTATCCTGCAGTTTTCCCTCAATGTTTTTCTGAACCATTATAACAGTAGTAAAGGTCACAATTACTACTAACATTACCTTATAATATACAGTAATGTACAGTATTTTTGTATATATCACACGAGTAGCAGTGCGACATGGGAGGTGGAAGGTGTGCGTTGACTTGAGGCCGCAGGCTGAGTGCTTTAGTGTCCCACCAGTGATGATATACAGCCATATCACACTACTAGGAGTATGAAATTGCCTTATTTAACAGTTCCACGGCATAATCGTGAGTTTCAAAGAACATTTTGTACGAGGAACTACTTTCTTCAGCCATTCATTTATATCTGCAGCTGACCATCAGAACCCGTTGCTAATTTATCAACGTCAATTTAGAGCTAGTATTTGAATGATTCTCTAGCGCAATGGCTAAAGTGATGACTAAACAGGTAATTTTGCTTACGTTTTAAGATTATACGGCTGAACGGCATGAAATGCCATCAGTCTACAGAGATTTTCCATTATTTCTCTGCTGCATTCGGGAGAACACAATAATTAACCCCGAAAAAGCCAAAGCAAAGCAAAGCAAACAATACCAGATCACTATGGTATAAATACAGCACTAAACATACACAAGAGAGAGATTGAATTAGAGCAGGGATTCACAACCGCTGGTTGGCATCAGCGATCCTGATGGTGGGTCGT